TTCCAGTAATATTGGCTGGATAGAAAGAAAACTCCAGATGCCACAGGTAATTGCGTATCTATTTTAATATTATTCAAAATCTCATAGTCAACTAACAACAGCATGAAAAATAGATACAAATTTATCTTAACATAATAGGAAAATGAAAGCAACTTTTAACACAGAGGTAGCTTAATTATTAAGTTCTGAATAATGGAAAACTATATAAATTAAAAATTATAAGATGCAAAACCCACATAGCTTCAAATGAAAACTAACTTAGCTAATATGAATACGTGTGATTGAATTAAAAAACAAATTCAGCTGTAAAGCTCCACAATTTGTTTTAACCCATAACCCGATGTGTGCATTTTCTGTTTTCTGAATATAATTGAATATCATTCTCTTTCAAATTACCTCTACAATTGACACAAGATGCCATTTCATTGGCTTGGAGATTGCATCACTATGCAGAACTCCGTCGTCTCTCTCTCTTTGTAAGTGTCAAATGAATTGTGAATTCCAAATTTCTTTCAAAAAATATTTTCAAACTAACGCACTTCTAAGTCGATCAAATATTTAGAATTTGCTTGGTTCATTTGGAGGGTAAGATTTATATTGCTTTTGAAAGAAAAAAAACTCTATAGGTTAGTGGGCCCTTGTAATATAAGTACTTCATCTGTCAAGAATTTATACTATCTATCTAAGTAACTAATCTATCTAAAATACTTTGGTTTTAATTCTTAGACATTGTTTTTCCTGCATGGATTTATACTAAAAACTTCTTTGTACCTTTCCCTCAAGAGGCATAGTGCAAACAAAATCTCAAGGGCCTCCGAAATGCTCAAGACACCCCTGCGCTTGGCCTTGGTTGCCGGGGGGCTTGTGTTGGGGAACTGTGTTGGTTTTGGGAATTTACCTGTTTAATTACTGCTGGGATTCTTTTATGTGATGTTAACCCAATGGAATGGAATCTTTGTTAGCCCCCTCCAAACGCTTTGTTTGATTTTCCAGATTTGTTACCCTGTCCAGAATCATGGATTTGTTCACCACCATTAATGTGAGGCCTGCCCAGGACAATGAGGGGAATGTTACGTTCACCTATTTCCTTCATACCGTTCACGATCGGAAGCTTGTTGTTGCCATTATCACTAAAGCAGTCGGCACCCAGTATGACTGCCACCCCAGCAACGACTGGCAGCGCTTTTTCATTGTTTCAGGGTTGGACAGGTTCTTGCCAACAAGATTTTGGAACAAAGCTGAGCTTGAGCAAAAACTTACCCATTTCTTGCAGCAAGGTCTTACCCTGCCTCCCCCAGCAGGTCTTGTCACAAACAGACATACAAAGCATTCACCAACATTGCTGGGACTACTTAATCCCCTACAATGTTTTCCTAATATGCTGATGTGCTACTGCTTATTTCTTGTGTTTTGTTTCACTGATGGTTCTCTACAAACAACCATGAATACTTTTAAAACTGCATTCCATTGAATGGTCTAAAATGTTAATTTACTATTTCTTGGTTTTTCTTTTCTGCATATTCTGCCCTTTTTCACAGCCCATGTTCTCCCATTGGGCATCCACCCTCGCGCGAAGCGCGTGCTAATGCTAGTACACATATACGTATTCATATGTTTTTTAAAAGTCAACGTATTTTTCAACGAATTTTTGACCGTCTCTTTCATTATTGTTACCCAATAAAACACTTACGTATTAAACGCCGTTTAATTCCCGTACTGTATTTAACTAACTATGATTATAAAACATTTCCTATTACACTAAGAGAAGTTTAATTCCTATAAGAAAAAAAATGAAGAGATGAAGTTTAATTTCTGCATTTTACGGGTGCATATATATTGATATTCTCTCTAATAGTTTTATTCAAAAGCCTAATATAATGCAAATGCTCTAAAAAGTTATAAGTGCAAACTCGATTTTTTGAGCTAATTAACATTTCTAAAATATTTTCCAACTAATCTAATTTTTGGTGGAAATGAAGTTCTGGTGAGTTTTACAATTCGTCTTTTATATTCACATCTCATTCAATTCGTATTAAAAACATCACTACATAGTACGTATAGTATATTAATAAAAAAATTGATTCTAATTAAACAGACAATTAGACAAAGTTTGTTTCCATCACTTGCAATGGAGCCAAAGATTCATTATTTTTTGGCTTGAGAATATGATGGAATAAAGCAAAATGGCTCACCAAACTGTCTGCTCTTCTTTGTTATGAAGCAGCGGTCAGTCCATGCAATTTTGGACGCGATTTTCATTATGGGTCATCCGGAAACAGTCTCTCTGTGCTTTAGTACAGGGGTAAGACTGCGTACATCCGACCCCCCCTTACCCCACCTTAGGTGGGAGCCTTTGCGGCACTGGTGTAAATGATGATTGATGATTGATAGACAATTAGACAAAGTTCATAAAACTTGTAGGTTGATATGGACATATGGTACTTATTCGGTATTCAATCATCAGTGTTTTAATATCGATGTTTAAATGTCTTTGTGACGATTTTAATAAAACGACATCACTGTTTATGGTAAACAGGCCATCTCCCATTCTCCCGTGACATGAACTAGCTAGGAGAAACATGCAAAATAGTTTTTGTTTTTGTTTTTTCACAAGCAAAAAGATGAATCCGGCCACCACTTAACCGCACATGCATGTGATTTTTTCTTATTGATAATTTTTCGTCTTATCTTTGTCATTTCTCTTACCATTATTTACCAACATACTAAATTCTAATCTAGCTTTTTGAAAATAATAGTGTCAGTTTCTCGTTAAAATAATAAATTTATGCTTCTATTCAATTCTCTTATTTGCACATGTTCCATATATATAATTTTTACTTTTCTTATTTTTCACTTAATTTAAAATTGACAATGCCCCATGAGAGGGAATCATAATAAATCTTTTACATTTTATATAGTGTGGATATGCATTGGGGATGAAAAGGTAGAGATTTTATTATGTAGTATTAGTCAATAAATACATTATACGTAAGAATGTATACACACAAAATTTATAGATATATAATTTTATATAGTAAAACTGAGTTATAAAATAATGATGTGTCACTCTCTTATTGGTTAGCACAAATAAGTATTATCATTATATTAAAACAGTTAATTAATTCATTAAATGCCGTAAACTCCCTGTTATCGAAACTCCTACGTGATCTTTTGTTTTTTGAAGAACTCCTACGTGATGTTGGTTACTATTTTTATAGAATTTAATTAAACATATGACTCTACTATATTTTTTTCGAAAGGCGACCTCTACTATATATATTCCGTATTAAAAGCATAACTTTTTATATGTCAAACTTATCAGCTTCATCTTATCAGTTTTTTATAGTAATCTTATTAGTTTTAATTGGCTTCTTTTTAGCAGGGGCGGAGCTAGGGGGTGGCCACCCCTGGCCCTGGCCCAGCCCAAATTTTAAAAATCTCTATATAGTGTAAAAAATTCCGTGTGAATTTTTTTTTCAAAAATATTCTTTGTACCGGCCCAGTGTCCTGGCTCCGCCCCTGCTTTTTAGTAATCTTTTTGGGAATAATTTGTTACTAAATTCCTTTTTTGATGCATTAGAAAATCAAAACTATTCAATAACATAAAAAGCTACAAACTATTGTGTGACATGAAATCACGAATCACTTTAAGAAGACATGCAGTGTAGCACTGAGATAAAAAAAATATTTACAGACACATATATAAACATATTAGAATAGAGTTTATTGCAACACTATCATAAAATTCATTATCTGAATAACTACACATGTTGCTTGCTTGGTAATTGTAAATTGTAATAAAAATTAACACTTTTTCCGCAGCTCATTTTATTTTTATAATGTATTACTTACTGCTAATTAAAATTTGAAAAGTATACTTATCAATTATCATATTATTATTATTAATATCATTATTATTTATGGAGTAATTCTGTAAAGTGAGATATCATTTCAATTTTTTAAAACACATTAACTAATAGTGGAAATTTGTATGTTGTTCTTTAAAATAAAAACAACTTATATGAAAAACACAACCAAAGTAACTTAAATGTATTATTAGTGAAATTAATGGTATATTAAAATTAAAATAAATTAATGAATCCACTTCAAAACATGCTCTAATTTAACTAGAAAATTGTTTTCCCAACAAACAATCCGAAACATAGAGTTACATAGGCTAGGAAATTGAACTTCATTTACGTTAGGTTGTTGAAGATCAAATCGGGCTTAAAGGAATTTTTTAATAGGAAGTATAAAAGAGCGATTTATATTAATATCGAGAAAGCTAAGAACATCTAAACTTAGAAACAATAATCATCTCATACAAAATAACCTGACTTGATAGATACTAAACGGGCAATTTTAAGTCTAAAATGACCGGAACCAAAACACTCCCTATAAAAAGTACTTCATCAAAAATTCAATATTGAAACCAAATCTAATTGAACTAAAATAAAAATAAGCACTATTAAAGAAAAATAATTTTAGAGTAAAGCTTTTCCATAAAACTCTTCGTGGCATGGGGTGATTGAACCCCAATTTCAAATCAAAGTGACACTACCGGGGCATGCCCCGAGTGATACACTAGTGTATTTGAATGTTGACTTTGTTGGAAAAATGTGTTAAAATTACATTAAATGGTCATTTTGAGGGTGCTATTCGAAAAGTGCATCAAATAAGGTCTATTCGAAAGTGCATCAGATAGGGGTTATTGTGCATCAGATCGACACTTTGGACGTCTTAGATTAATTCTCATTTTACACGTTAAGACTTTTTTTTATTTGATCCAGACTATATATATATATATATATATATATATATAGATTTTGATTCAAAGTTGGGGAAATTGGGGATATAATCCGTCAATTGATTTTGAACAACACTCTAGGGCAGCAAATAAGGTTGGCCGGTATGATTCTGGTTGGCCTCTCTCAATTGGGTTTGACATACAGATTGAAAGTAAATCCTTTCATTTTAAAATTCTTGATTCCAGCATACGTGTTTCTGAAACCAAGCTTGGAATAAGATCTGCCGTAGAATTAGATTTGGTTAGGGCTTCTTGGTTGCAGCTTTCCATTCCTAAGATTTTTGGTGGATCTTATACTAGGATTGAATTGGATAAATCATTTTGCATTCTTTATGATGCCAATATTTTTGGGGGTTATATCCGTGTTATTGAAAAGGGGTGTGATTCTTTATTTATACCCGAAGGACGAAATGGATTTGGAATTAATTTATTTCTAGCTGGGATAACAAGAGCTATAGTCATGATGAGAGACATTGCTGCAAAGCAATCAACATGTGTGCTTGCTACAGGTGAGATTTCTCCAGATTTTGTGGGTGTAAATAACTTAGAGTTGGAGTGTATGCTTTTGGATGGGGATCAGCTTGACTCTACAGAGAATGAGATCTCCATTTCGGGAGCTTTATTTAAAGTTGATATTGAGGATTTTGCCTATTATGACAACTCTTTACAGTTGATTTCTGTCAATGAGTCTGAACAGATTTCTGAACCTGATCCATTTGCATCTTAAGGATTTCTTTCAGATTACTCTGACAAATGGGGTGGAATCACTCTCTCAGTTTCTAACTAATGAATTTGAGAGACTTCTAATCTCAATATTGGATAGCCGAGAGAACTTGATTTTGGGGTCCACTGATGAAGGGAAAGCTACTGGAACAGAGGCTTATCCAGAGAGAGTTGATCAGAATGAGTTTCGTGCTTCCGAGTTAGGTGGTGTGGGCATTCAATCAGATTCTTTGGCTTGGGATGGTTTTTATGGTGATTCATGTGCTTCTTCGGGGGATGAATTTCTTGGTCATGTATCTGAAAATGAGAAGAGGGTGCCTATCTCAAAAGTGGGAGATCTATGGGACTTCGATACTAATCAAGATATTTGTTACAAAGCCTTACTCGTCACACGTGAAAACTGCTTGCCTACGCAAAATTTGAACACTCAAAAAAGAATGTACCGGAAAAAGAATCAGAGGTCGCACCTTATGAGGACCAGATCTCAAACACGAGCGGAGCTGTGAAAATTAATTTAAGGGCTTAGAGATCTCTAGGGCGGGTTTTACTTGTGTTGAATTGGGTTGGGTCTTTTCCTTTTTCTATTTTGTTTATTTGTTTTTGTTTACCTGTTTTTTTTTTTCCTTTTTTCATTCTTTTCCCTTCACTCTTTGTACTTTGCTTTGCTTATTATTAATAAAATTTTCTTTCCATTTAAAAAAAAAAAAAAAAATAGATTTTGATTCAAATGAGAACGAGTCTTATCGTGAGTACGTGAGAACACATCCCAGCCATTCAAAATACATGCGGATCTACGATCAACTAAAGTGAAATCAAGGGTATTTTGGTATTATATCAATTGGTTGTTTTTGTAACCGATCATGTCAATTAATATATGCATATGGTCCACTAATGGAAATTTATTATACTTACGTGGATTGACTTCATATATAGAAATTTATACATGTAGTAAAGGAAATTTCGTTAGTGAGATAAAAAAGAAAAAAAATGGTTCCGTTTATTTAATTTTTAGAATGAATGGTATTATGCAATCATCTCTCTCCTTAAATATTATTCACAAATCATAGTAGTTATATATTCTTCAATCCATATTTTTCTTTATGTTATAAACAAAATGTGAGTTAGATACCGGTTCATGTGCATTGCTTAAATAGAGTTGTGTGTTTGATACCCTTTCATGTGTGTTATATATTGTTTAAATTAAATGAAGTATTTATGTGTTAGATATTACAGAGTAGTTTTTAATTGTTGTGTGTTAGATACTGATTTTTGTGATTGAGATACTTGTTCTGGCGCTTTATATACAAACATGTGTGAGATGCTACTTTTCATGTGCATATAACTGCTTAAACTTTAGATTATACTAAATACGTATGTATTCGATCAATATTAGTTCTTAATTATTGTGTGTTAGATAATGTTATTTGTGATTCAGGTACTTGCACGGGTGCTTTATATACAAGCTATTTGTGAGATACTCATTTTTCGTGTGCATTAGCTTTTGGTTGTTGTGCGTTAGATACATATTCTTGTGTGTGTGATAGATGGGAATACTTGTTGTAGTTTATTGTATACATATAATATTTATTTTTAAAAACAAAAAATTATATATGGAATATTGGTGTCATATGAAAGATAAAAAAAAATTATTTAATTTGCTATAATTTTTTTTATAAAAATCAATTATAATTTAAAAGGTTAAATCAATTTTAAACTAAAAACATTTTATATGATTTGAAATTATACTTTTACCTAGTTTTTTGGAAAGTTGCAGCCTAACATCATTACAGTATTAAATGCATTTGTAGAAGTACTCTAATGCCCTTTGTTCATTACACGCTTACTGATGGATAGTCTACCCGGGGGGTATCTTATCCGAGGGGTTATTGCGGGAATAACTTAGAGAGAAGTCAGAGCAAATAGGAGGAGAGAGAGTCGATTTTATTAAATGAACTCGAGATGTGGAGTTGAGACGTAGATCATGATTTACAAGGAGAAATAGGCTGCTATTTATAGCAGCAATAAATGCGATGAGAGGACACGTGTCAGTAATCCAACGGCCGAAGGGTCACATCAGCCTGGTGGCACCGGCAGTGGTACGTCAACCGCATTGAATGCGGTTGGCGGATGCGACGTGGCATTAAATGCGGTGGTTGGCTGTCTCTAAAAGGAATCATCGATGATTGAGCTTGTTCAGCCGAAGGCTCCTCGTGTAGCCGAAGGCTCCTTGTGTAGCCGAGGGCTCCTTGTGTAGCCGAGGGCTCCTTGTGTAGCCGAGGGCTCCTTGTGTAGCCGAAGGCTTGGTTCGGCCGAAGGCTTCCGCTGGTGCCGAGGGCATGAGGGCGCCGAAGGCTCATGTTTTTGCCCGTTTTCTCCCAGCAGCTTCTTATGCCAGAGAGGGCTATCCTGCGAGTTTTGGAGCCTTCGGCCAAGGAGGCCGAAGGCACCCCAGTGTGTATTCTGGGCTACTTTGAGGCTTGGGCCGTTATTTGGGCCTGAGTTGTTTCCTGAGCTCAATGGACTTGTGTGGGAGAAGTAGGAGTCTATGGGCCGGGGGTTCCTGGGCCATATACTCCATCAGGAGTCCCTCACTCCTTTTGCCGAAAGGTACTTGAGGGAAAAGGAGTAGATGTGTTGCTTCTTCTGGAGGCTTCACCATTTCGCTTAGTGTTTTTTGCTGGAGAACTTGTCTTCTGCCGATTGCCGAAGGCTTCCCTCAGTCCCTCACATGTCGAGGGTTTTTCTGAGGGAAGGTATTCATAACCTTCGCATGTTAGCTGGGGGCTCCCCTCAATTCCTCACATGTCGAGGGCTTTCTGAGGGCAGTATAATACCTGTATGATCGCAGAAGGCTTTCCTCAGTCCCTCACATGTCGGGGGTTTCCTGAGGAAAGAATAGGTGTATTGCCTGCATGTGTTGTGATGAAGGCTGGCTCATTGCCACCAGTGACTTGTGCGGGAATTTTTCGATAACTCTGCCACTGCCGAAGGGTATGTTGAGGGACGTACCCGAGGGGTTGTACTTTGCTGTTTGCCCGGAGGCCGTATGTGTCAATTGTATATTGTTGCATGAAGAAATCTTTGTTATGTATGATCCCCGAGGGGTGTATCCCAGTCCCCCACTCCTTTGGGCCGAAGGCTAGTTCGGGCTGAAGGAGTTATGATGTGTCGATGAGCTCCCGGGGGGTGGTAACATTGATGAGCCGAAAGCTTACGCTGCTGCTTGCTCGAAGGCTGTAATAGGTGATAGTCGGGGGTAACCACTTGAGGGTGCAATAAGTAATATTAATGGTACATCTTTGGTACGGAGTATTTCTTTTTATAGCATACTACGGTATATGATATACAAGGTATATTGATAATAAGGAGTATAATATAAGGTAGATTCTATGGTACTCATAAGGTACCATACCTTTATCCACATGGACCAATGAGAATGTAGCAGTTGAATTATTTAAATCTAAATTAAAAATGATAAAATGATGTGGTCCAATCAAATGAATGATAGGTACGGTACCCCATATTTTAGAAAGGTACCGGAGTTGTCACCATAATATAATTGATATAAGGAGTAATAAATCATTAAAAATCTTTCACATTTCATGTTTCGTTTATATCCATATATATGGCATTATTATTATAAACTAAATATAAATATCTTTGTTTTAATAGCGTTACGATTTCCATTGTTTCGGTGCTACCGATATTTTGATGATGTGATATTTGAGTGCATTCTTTGAACGGACATGATCTTTACAATCATAGTACATGGCTCCGTATCATTTACTTAATTATCTATCATTTCCGTCTCTCTAAGATTTCCCTTGATAGCGGAGTTTGGGGGCAATGTAATTAAAGTAGGACCCAAAGTTCCACACCATCCCAAATTTAAAAAAGGGCTATACGTTCATTGTAATAGAATTTCGTAGTTAGTAAAAAAAAGTTCTTCGTACCAGCCCACTGCCCCTGAATACGCCCTTGATTGCCATATACCAGATTTGGTAAATTTTGTGTAATTCTACATCGTTTTTATTTTATTCTTACTTTATCAACAATCAATCATATAAACTAGTTTTCTTAATAACCACAACACCCTATCATATTTCAATGTTAGTGGGACGGGGATAGTATGATATTGATTAATTGACGAGAAGTACATAAATTCTACCTCCGTTCTCTTTTAATTGCAACATATATTGGACTTTTTACACTATTCGCATATCCTACTTTGACTATATTTTATTTATTAATGTATTATAAATTAATTTTTCAAAAATTAATACTCCGTATTATATTCCTCTCATTTTAAATTTTCAAAATCTGAATTTTTTAATTTTTTACTAATAAGGAATGAAAGATATTAATGGTGAGATTTGTGCATTGACAAACGTGAAAAGGTAACCGTTGCAATTAAAAAAGAAAAGCGGAAGTATTTTATGTATCCTATAATGACCATTGAAAGATTAATACTACATTACGGAATATATATTGTTAGATTGTTCATGACTCATGAGTGTTAAATATGACACCAAATATATATGCTAGTCTTTTAAAGGATTAGAACTAACCCTCTTGGAAAGGTACATTAAAATACTTGGAAAATGGTCAAGTAGATCATCCTACTATTTTGAGGTTCTTATGAGGTTCTTAGATAATCTTGGCTTGGTTTTGATTCTGAGCTTGAGGCAGCTATTTGGCCTAACTGTTGACTTGTTGTTTTGCAGGTACTTTGTAACATGAAATCTGCGAAGTACATATGCTGTTTTGAGACTGGGCTTCAATGGAATATATGTCTGATCTTATTGTTTTGAGACTGGGCTTCAAGGAATTAATGAAAAAAATCCCTTGATTTAACATCTATAGATAAT